GTCAATCTTGGCCAGCAACATATTATATCATGCTAAAATATCAATAGTCTCCATATCACCTGTCTTTGTGCCTCGAAGGAAGATGGAAGGAATTGAATACWAGTGTCACTTATGAGAGGTCCAGTCCAGTTTTGTTGTACAAACAACTGAAGACAAGCAGTACCAATCAGTAGTACAATAAGCTGTCTGAAATACAACATGAAATTATGAAATGAAAAAACACACCCATAAACAGTTTTTCTCAGTGTTATCCCACTTTGAATTTATATTATCACATTAATYAACATAATTAAAACTAATGATTAACATAATTAAAGATTAACTAATAAGTAATTAAAAAGTAATGGATGCCCACCTCCTAGAATAAATTACTGTGCAGATACACTAACTGGGACCACTTGAATAAAACTTCAATCAGATAACAGTAAACTTGATAGAAATTGAACTGATAAAAGTGTTAGCCAATCAGATTATTACGTTCTCATGCTCTTATCTTATCAATGTGCTATCTGATTGGCTGTTTAGAAAGATTGACCTATTTTAAACTGATACTAAATTATCGAAGTGGTCCCAGTTGGAGTATCCATACAGTAATTAGTTTTACTCTAWATACTTACCTAGTCAATAAAGTTTGCTCATTAGTAGATTCTAAATATAGCTCAGTTCTTTTTATTAGGTATTTATCTATGCCTGTTAATAAATAAATAAATTCTATTAAAACACTGATTTTGATGATGAAAACGTTTACAAGTGTAACTTTAAGTTGTGATGGAAATTCCCCCCTTAAAATCATGTTTTACCTTTTAATAATCTCTTAGAATTTCAGCCTCTTAATTAATAGCCCATTTAATATACGAAACTAAACCATATTTAAGTTTGTATAGTAAGTCTTTATATTACCTTCAGCAGATTCCTTTGAAGAGGTTTCAGTTGTTATGCCGAAAAACTTTGACGCTACCGGCGTTGTAAGAGCTTTAACGTATTCACCACTCGCTAGGCAAGACATTAGGTCTTGAAGCTCAGTCAACAACTGTACATATTCTGAATGAATAAATAATAACAAATGAATCAAAACCTAGCAAAACTTAGCAGTACAGTATGTATCACATGTACACGTGCAACTAGTTTATGTATTGCAAAATACTCAAATGTCATTTTACTTATACCTTTGTCGACATTGCCATCTATTATCTCTTGAAATGAAAGACTACCTTTGTTAATATTCTGCTCCAGTACAGCATATTCGAGTTTTAAGTAAAATTCTTTATTTTCCATSGTAAATTTGTTAAAAATGTGACTGAAATGCAACTTTAGTCAGGCGTTCCTCCTCGCTTACTCGACACATTCTCATCGGCTTTTCCGAACAAAATCCGAAAATACTCCGAACCATTCCGAAGAAAAACGTCTTCCTTTAGATGGCTGGAGCTCTCWTCAAATTTCGATATTTTCAACCTTTAAAATTAAATCTCCTCTTCCAGAACTTATCAGTTTTATACTTACGTAACTGTTCGTCTACAAGGAGGTTTGAAGTCGGAGAAAAAGCTGAAATTTTCCGTGTTTTTGGCCAAGAAGATGTGGACGCGTTTGCAGAGTTGACAGGCGAYTTCAATCCCATTCATATAAACAGCGAGTTTGCTAAACTTGCAAATTTTGAACGCTGTATAGTACATGGAGCTCTAGTGAATGGGTAATGATACAAAATTAAGATACAAATGACTATATATACTTTATATATTGTCTTTTTAACCTCTGACATGAGAGTGAGGCTAAGAGGTATCATGAATAAATAGAGTATTAGACGATAGATATTTAGAGCAAAGTATAACTTATGAAGGTGCTTTAGTTATTAAATACTTGGATAACCTGCAATAACTATATTTTTACCTCCTCAGATTAATTTCGTCATTGCATGGTACGAAACTGCCAGGCTCTGGTTGTATGGTCGTATCTCAGCACATCAAGTTYCCATCACCTTGTATGTATGCATATAATTCTGCATACAGTAGTTTTATAAAATTCTTATCCTTCGAATAAATAAATGTGCACAATCATTCATTGTTCCCACCCCAGTTSTCAATGTCTGACTCACTTTGTTGGAAATGCATCTAAAGTATTTAAAAAATGGWTGGTGAAGCTTATTTGTTGCATGTGACATGTTGCATGCCTCATACCAAACTTCAAATRTCTTATATTCATATGTAAATAATGAAATCACAAAGGAAAATGTGCTGGAAAATTAAACAGTCAAAAGTGGGGTTGAATCCTTTCACTAATTCTTTTAGCCGGCCTCCCCCGTCTCAACTTTCATGTTTTTGAGGGAAACTGTGCTCTGTGGTCTGGTTGAGGTAGTCTAAGGGATTGTGGTATACTGTATTTACAACACCATATTCTCTATAAATCCACAAATATCAGAGTTAATCAGTCTAGTGTGTCCAAAGTTTTATTTTTGATCATGCTATATTTTCAGTGTATGTTGGTGAAACAATTAGAGCTGTAGTAGAGGTCATGAGTTATAGACACTCTGTAATGTTATGTAGTGCTGTGTGCAMGGCAGTTGAAAGAAACGAGGTAAATCATCTATAGATATCCTTTGTTACTAAGTTTGCTATTCTACATTTTGCATTCATATTCTGATGCTGTTAGGGGTGATTATGATAGCCAATGTGACATTTTGTGAGAGCACAAGACTTGCAGATTTATTGGGAACCTTATGACCTAATTAAAYGGCTCTTGTACTAGTGCTATCAAGCCCTAAAAAAGCCTCTGGACTCAGATCTCAGTGGCACAGCTAATTGACAGTTTAAATTGGAATTTAATATTTYGGGTTTTGCAAAGGTGGGAAGTTCAAGATTAGCTGAATCAGGGAAGACAGCCATAAACTCTGCTCAGATATGACGGGTATAAAGTTTAGGGATCCTAAATCCAAGAGAATGCACTTTCACTGGGCCAGACTMAATAATTAATTTTTATTCACTGAAAGTGAAACACTTTCTGGCCATGTTTTCATAGAAACCTTTTTAGAATCTTTAATCAGAACCATTGTTAGTTTGAAGAATGATCAAACAATAGCGCAGCGWGCTGATTCTAAAAATAGCTTAAAGATTCGGACAAACATTGCATTCTGTTTAACYGCTAYGAGGATTATACGAACCGATTTTATTATTTTTACTTAAAGTTACAATAATAACCCATGTAAACTAAGATCAACTGCGATYGGCTGTGAAAATTATCTGCTGAAAGTAAACTTGTAAGTTTGTTTGTCCGAATTTCGCCTTTGTCTTTGTTTTTATGACGTCAGGGCTGCGCTGCGCTATTAGAATGAATTGATTGATATTTCAATCTGGTGTCAATTTTGATACTTCACATGTAACATGACAAATATTTTTGTAATTACATTTTATACAAAAATSCCATACATTGATTTATATCTGGATTGTTCTTCTTCAAGCTACATCATTCCTTAATATAACAGTATTTATCCATTATTTTTCTTTGTGCTGTTTTTTTAGGTCATTCTTACTGGGGAAACTAAACTCTTTATACCAAAATCAAAATTAAACTAATCTAATGTAAGTATGGAGYACTCTTTTATTTTCTTTTTCAACATTCTTTCAATTGAAATCAYTTTCCCCTGATTATCAGTTTAGCATTACTTTGTCCTCTGCCTCCAGATTGTACAAGTTTGAGTAGTTTCATCTGTTGAAGAAATTATTGTTTTCCTCCACCCCCCTCCCCTCCCTCCCCCAGAACAAAAAATTGTTAAGTATCTCTTTTTCTATGGTAGGCAAACYTTTCCCTTTCTCCCCACACCCCCGAAAAAGAAAGATCAGCCAGGCTTAATCCAAGAACAAGAGCCGTAGTTCCTTTGAACATCGCAATTCTTTCTTATTTTGGAATACATTTTGATGAATTCTGCTTCCAATCTATTTTCTTTAACCTCAAAACTGACTCCTAACACGTAGTGCGCTTTTCGTTTTCCAATCTTTCTCTTCCCTTCAAACTTTCTTTCCCATTTTCCTATATACTGTACATTCTCTTCATTTCTACCGCACACATACCTTAAAGAACCAAATATTCGGACGAGAAGTAAACAAGATAACTGATCTCAAGCCCTAGAGCTATGTTTCGAATGAATTGAAGATTTAGCCCTTAAACTCTCCTTGAATCTCAAGCGCGGCTATTCACTCTCTTCCGGAATTATTTCTGTCGCACCAGCATGGCGCCTCCAACTATTTTTATGATGTTTTTATTTCCTATTAAAAGCCTTGTATGTTTGCCTAAGTTTAGGTTAATACCACTGGTCTRCTGACCTTAAATTTTTGTATCATAAGCAAGAGCAGAGTGGCAATTTAGATTTCTTCATCACTAAGTTTTGAGGTCTTTTAGAGGCGTTAATTTTGCGAGGTGATACGGCTTTCTATTCTTTGCTTACCAGGTTTCTTGTGCTTTGCAGATTAAACGAAGAAACAAAAAAGTGAAGCTTTTTTCACTTTATTCATGTAGTAACTTGASAGCAGAAATGAAAGTTTTTCAGTGTTCACTCGATTCTTTTTTTTCTTTTTTTCCTTTTTTTTCGAGTCTTTTTTTTTTTTTTTTTCGAGTCTTTTTTTTTTTTTGTACATGTGTGTTCCATGTTTCATTTAATTTTCTTACTCTAGATTATTTATTGCAAGGTTTGTCGATATATTAGAAACAAAGCTTAGTTCTACCTTTGTTACACCTGGGCTCAAGAATCAATCTCATATCAAACTGCGTATTTACAAAAGTGTTACGCGGTTTCTTTCTGATGATRTTCGGTGTCTTTTGAGCTGGCAGGCTGTCGACCTAATTGGTCCTACASTGGGATAGTTACCGCCGCGAGTTCGACTTTAAACCCTCTGACATTACCCAAGCGCCGCTTTTTATCTCCGCCTGAGAGAAAATCTAATGGACGCTACGAGGAAAATCCTTCAATTGCACACACCTGATTATGACCTCTGCTGATGGATGTATAARAGGCGCAATCTGATTTAAATTACATTGAAAATTGCCGGCGCGTGCGAAATGAAACCAGATTTACCCACAAAAAATATCAACAATCAGCTTCTAGGGGAAAGCTTCCAAGAGATGCCATTACGACGTAAAACTCTTGCTAAAAGAGCAAGATCAGCTGTCTTCTCACTGAAGCCATGCTGGCCCAATTAACTCGAAGAACTTTGATCATAGCGTAGTGAACATCTTCTCGGCATCTATTCGTCGACTGGCTGGCGACCTGTTGAAAATCTTAAGCTTCTGTTTTTGTTGTTAAGAAAAGCGGTACAACCAAAGGTTAACAAAAGATTCGCTGCAATCCTAAAGAGATTTTTAATTATCAAGCTTAGTATTCCATCTCTAGTACCATTCATTAAAAAATATCCCTGTAAAACCAGGGTCCCAAAAAGGTTTTGTCTAATAAGTTCTGATTCTCATGGTTGTTATCTGTACCAAAGAGTGCACTGAAGGATTCAAGAGTTGGCCGTAAATTATCGCCGGGGATTAATCTTTTGTTTGTACGTAAGTTGCAATCCAATAACCACATACTTAAGTAAGTTAATCGCGCAAGGGGCGGGGAACAATCTTGAAATTAAAACATACGGCACATAACAGGTACTTATTAGCGATACGTGTAGAAGCACTTCTTTTATGAATACTTCAGTGTCGACCAAAGTCCTAGTCTTGAAAACTGCAACCTCAACAGCTATAAGGTACGATTATTAATATCCATATATATATATATATCTATAGCGTCACGAGAAGCTGCCCGATCCCACATTGTGATTTCTTGGAGAGAGAGATATATATGTGTAGAGAAAAAGCAATTTAGTATTTATTTTTGAATGGTTTTCTAGAGGCGTAGCTTTTGTAGGTCATGGCCGTCGGTAATGCAAGTGCCTTCGGTTCTCGTAATAATTTTTCATGCCAAATACGAAAATATTTACGCGGTATTTCAAGCATGAAGGTTAAAGGGAAGAGCTGCAAAAGTAGGCGTTCTTTACAATGTATAAGGCGCTTAGGAAACTGCGCCTCCGTCATTTGGTTCATCTTATCACAATTTCCAAACGTGAATGCTGCGGCTTGGCGGATTGGTCAAGTATGTACGTCTGGTTTATAAAGTAATATATATAGATTCTAGTTTATTTAGTCTGCTTCTCCCAAGAGAAGTCATACCTCGCCGCCAGCATCCTACCCTATTTTCTAACGGTGCATGCTCCCTGAAACTCCTTTCACAAACTGACCAGTTTATATACCAATAAACATCAGAGGTGTTTTTTCCCCAAAGGTCGTCGTGTTTGAGTCATCTTTTACCTTGGCAGATCATTAAGTACCAGCACTTTACCATGAACAGTGGAACTTTTTTCCTTGCTTTCCTGTTGGTTTGCTTAGCAYTTGAAGTCGTCTTCTGTTGCGGAACTTCTGAAGGAAAAGAATCTGAGGTATGAAAACGTTGCAACTTCAAATTAGTTTCAGCAATAGGCCACGTTCGAGATGTTAAAGTTCTAGCATGATACCGAGGCTCGCTGAAAAAAAAGTCGATAATTTGCATTAAACCTCAAAAGTATCAGTTGATAATATAGATTTGATTATGCAACGTTGTTGAGTAGCACCCTGACTAGCCTTTCTATTAAAATTTTCTTATTATTGTCAAAAGGTGAGAACGTTGTATATGGTACATTATTATAATCCTACCAATAAATGTATTTATGATCCATGTGTTTGTACTTACTTGAAGTAACATACCACTAAAGCCTCGTAATCAAGTCTGAATTTTAACACATCAAACGTGCTCTAATAAAAATATTGTTAGATAACATCATGGATTATTCTGAATAAGGAAGTCATATATTTATTTATTTATTTAATAAACTTTCACCCTAAAAATAACTAATACGAAGTATCCTAAAAAAGATAAATAAATAAAAGAAAAAAAAGAAAAAACATTTGGGTAAGGAAAACAACAGAGCTGGGCTCCAAACAAAACGTCTCCTTATAGGTGATTAGCCAATGTTTTTTTACACGAATTGAAAATTTGTTGTTTACACGCATTGAAAACTTCTAAGAATTTAAAAATCAAAACTTTTACGAGCACAGTTTTCACAACATGGAAAGAAACATGATTTCGAAGCCACGTGAAGTACCTTTAGTACGTGAAGTTAGGATGCCTCGTGATCAGCTGCAGTGCGATAAGCCTTTGTCTTTTCTTCGACGCCATCAAAGATATATACTGAGCACAGTATTAAAGCACATATGAATGTGATGTAATGAACATAACTTTATCAAGCGCTATGCTCTCTTGTTTATGATGACCCCTTGAGAAAGTTGCGAATCTACACATGTCCATGTTACTTGATTAAAGTAACTAAGCTAACATGAAAATAAGAAAGAAACCATAGTCACGTTTCTCGATGGAACTTGTTACCTTCCTTTTATACTTTCCGGCATGTCATATCAGCCTCGCCAATCTAAAATAATTTTGAGAGGGGCCTTTATTATTCTTGCCAATGTTTGATTATCTTTCAGAAAATCAATAACACYGAAGTTCGTGGTAACGTGCCTCAAGAATCCAGCAAACCGTCCGACWTTGTTGGTCCCTCAAACAATACCAACAATAAAAACATATCAACAACGAACGACTACACCACCTCTGACAACACCGACCAAGGAAAAACCAACATAACCAGCCAACCAGAAGAAAAGCAGCAGTCAATAAGTACTAATAAGACTCCTAGTCGGAAGGACGTCAAAAAGCTCTCCACGACACCTACAGTGAAGGTAGCGACAAGAGTAAAAGTGAAAGCCCAAGAGACCACTGCACATGCTCAGACTACGGCGTCACCTTCCGTCATGAGGATAGTTACGCAGTCYATTCTTGAACGTGAGTTTTGTGTAGTTTAAACTACCATTAAATAATCTGAAGAAAGTAGATGAATTATGAATTTCACTACTGGAGAAGCAATGTGAAATACATTTTTCGTCATACGCATTAAGTTACATCTTCTGTGTGCGGGCCAGCATCTATTCCTTTTTTGTTCCCACACCATTTTCATTTTTCTCACTCCATAGCAAACTTTACTTCATCGCCACCCAAAAGAAACCCAGACTCCTGCACGGCGTGGCAACAGTGTCCAATCCATCGTCAYCCAAAGATCCAGGCCTGGCTTCATAGTCTCCCAGCATGCCCCTGTCGATATCCTTATGGGTTGTATTATAACAACACCCTTTATGACAAGATCCAAGGGAAATTGTTTTCATGGAGAAATGTCAACTTTAAGCTCGAGAAACTAGCTGTTTTCAAACCAACTGCAGCGTATTGCATTCGGCAGCTTTTACCGAACTCTGCAACCACAACAGCAACACAGCAGTGCTGTTATGATCGCAGGCTCCGACTGATTACCCGRGGGAGWGGGTCTGGCACGCCAAATTTGGTCGCACCAGAGCTAAATGAAGGGATGCATAATTACGTTGACTTGTTGCCGTTTATTTCATGCCAAGGAGACTGGACACGATACCAAGCCGTGCGYCCACCGAATAATGCACTAAAATGCCGCGAGAACCCCAAGAAGGGRGAGTTTCGAAGGCAATTCAAAAGAGCCAGAGAGTTTTAGATGCACGTTCAAACCTTACCGCGAAGGTTTTATATTAATAGCAGATATCAGAGTTACACTCTGTTGCCTTCAAACAATTGTTTCAAGTCGAGGCATTTGGGTCAACACAATGAAATGTATAGAAAGTGACCCAATTGTAACAATTGTTTGAAGGCAATAGAGTGTAACTCTGATATCTGCTATTGTATTAGAGTGAAGGCATTTAACCCGTGATATAAAAAAAATGCAAGTTAACGTGTAATAGTCAAATAGTCACAAAAGAATTAAGATGATGGAATTTCGGTCTATTAATGTGTGTTATCTATTTCACGGGTTTTTAAAATGACCTCTCTCTATACCGGATATATCACCATATAWCAGCGCAACTAAGGGTGGATGATTTAAGATTGCTCTGGAGCAGATTTCATAAGATTGTGAAAAGTCCTCGGCGCGACGTACCCGCGTGTCATGACAGCGTGTCCGTACCTTGTCCAAGCACTTTAACCTAGTAAGCGTTTGTGTCCATCACGCTGAGATTGCTCAGCGAATGTCAACGTTTCAACTCCGTGTCCGTATGTTACGAATTTTTACAGTCCTATGAAATCTATTCTATGGCGTTCAGTSGAAGTTATAGACAATACTGGAGAGGGGGCGCCAAAGGGTAAAATGCGAGGCACTTATAGACCTACGATTTCCCAACCCAACTTTAGTAAAATTTCTTTTAAAAAAAATCAAAAAATTAAAAACAAATATAATAAATAAATATATATACACATATAATCATTTAATGAAAAAAGTTACATTTAATCTTTCTTATAATAAATGTGTTCACTTTGAATAGTAACATGCCTTACCATTAGTAACATATCATTAGTCCATAAGACAACCATAAGGAAATGTGTTAATGAACAATTATTCGCCGAAGGCAGAGAAAATATCGGGGAGCATTATATTCACCAAGCTGCAAGTCTTTGAGCATCGAGGTAAATATTCCTAGATATTGACTTCCCATGAGGTAAAGAGTAGGCCCTTTGCAGTGAACGGTCACTTGTCTCTACTGGAGAGSAAAAWTTTTGTTTTTTTAAATTTTTGATTGGTGATTCTTTTTAGCTACTTGTAAAGAACAGAATGAAACGATGWGTAACCGGTGTGTTGCGAAATACAGTTTTRTTACCATGTTACGAAATATGTGGTAGAAAGTGTTTGCTCTCCAGTAAGTTTCACCCATGGAAATCAAAATTTTCATTCATTTGATTTCAGTGGATTAATCAGCACGTAATTCCTGAGCTGCAAAGGGCCTATTGTTTTAGTGACTTTGGGAAACCTTATGATCMCCGCACCTTAGGAGCTCGACCAATAGCCCACTTGTTGTCTCATTTAAATCTCATTTGCATGCATCCATGATAACTGCTATTACATCATGCAAAATTTTATACTCAGTCTACTGAGGAAATTTGATAGGAAAACAAATATATGCAAATATAGATGCATTGCACCATCTTTTTGCATTGTTTTCCTATTTGCTGTTATTATTGAGACATGTTATCTTGGCCATCAACGACGGCCGAATGATGCTGATTATATATTTTAATCAATGACTCTTATTTATCACAGTTAGGCTACCTTGACTATCTTAATATTTTCTAATGCAAATATATTGTTTTTTCCTTTYCACCTTGCACAGATTGGATCTTCCATTTATGCCGTAGTTTAAATCYACACTCAACATTATATATAAATAGAAGAAGTTATAAACACATAATTCTTTACCTTCGTTTCTAATATTCTTTATGTGTGCTGCATGTGTATTGGAAAATTATATYTCAGGTTTGTTAACACAGTAGATATGTTGGTGTTAGCCTGCGTAGTGGCTCTTGGGGAGGGGGATTGGAGGTGGCCTCCTTGCCCCAACCCCCCTCCCCCTCCCCCTCCCCAAGAGCTGCCACACAGGCTATATTRGTGTACCAAAACAATRCATTTTCTATCCTYAGGGAATKGAACTYTATTTTTATGCAAAAACTGTRCAGAAAGTTTCTATTGTTTGGTAYACCAATATGGCTGCCTTGTCACGTGAGTGAAAATGCTTTATATACCCCTTATAGACGTCAAATCAGCTTGATCTGGAGGACAAAACAAAAGAATTCAGATCTCCTGAAAATTGGAACCTATTGTTTTATCCCCAAGATCCTCATCTTGGGAATTGAATTCTTTCTCACAAAAGTGACAGTATGTTCTTGCCATCTAATAGTATGGATGCTGTCATGTGATGGTGCAAAAGCTTTATTCCTTTCATAACTTGTGGATATCCAAAATGTAGAAATGAGTTATTTCAAGGGGCCTGAATTTGCAAAAATGTCAGTCTCTCGCTCACTCACTCACTAAGATGTTAGCAAAAGCACAGGTAGCATATGCTGTGTTTCTCTGACGATTTTGATACAATTTGTTATATTTTTATATTAATTGAGATACCCTAGCTTTGTGCTCTTTCCTATGTCCATGTAGGATTAGGTCTCATATTTCTAGTTTATCAACATACCCCTTGTAGAAATTCCCACAAAAGCCAGCGTGCAGCCAGACTTTTCTCTCTTCAGTTAGAGTCAGTGAGAGGTTGGCTGCACGCAGGCTAGGGTGTACAGTAAAAAGATCAATGATATTCCAAATCTGTAGCAAAAATTCCAGTGGAATGCATTTGTATAATCCTAATCCACAACTCTATTTCCCATACCCCAGGCATTGAGGGGCAAGGGACAAAACAAAAGTAGAGTCCCTCTTTTGTGTRTGTGTGCTTCACTCCCTAGTGCACACCTCTGCAGATATAATAGACTAGCTACTAATTCCTGCATGGCCAAATTATTACACTAAAGCAAAGATCAAACACTGACAAAAAAAGGGTGGACTAGCAGTGGACCTTGYATATATGCACTTCCAAAGAACTCTGCTGTATTTTGAAATTCAAAAAGGGTCTAAGGAATTACAAAATTATATGACAATATGTTTTTATTTAATTTAATTTAACCCTGTTTTACTTGGTAATGGTTGTGCTGGTTGAGTTTCTTCTGTGTATGGTGGTGGTGGGGTATAGGGTACTTGTCCTGCAGAACAAAAAATAATAATATAAGTTATATAGAGCTCAACCTATTAAAAATATTTTAAAACTTAAGACTGGGCTTGCTAAACAAAATTATGCAGTCAATTAAGGTGGCTCAATGGGGTTTTCTCAATGTGCTTCCTTTTGATTTCAAATCACAAATCAACGGTTGTAAACAATTTGAATGGAAAAGGAACCTTTCCAAGGGTTTAAGAGAATGATGAAATATTCAAACGAATCACTAGACTAAGTAAAGATACATGGGAACAATCTATTTGATTGTCAGTCTATTGTCCATCAGTTGCAACRTGTCTTTGATAAGTGTATACCAATGAAAACCGTAATATCCCTTATCCTCTGAGCTGAGATGTAGAAGAGCATATTGTGGCATTTGCTTCAAATTTATTATGGACCATGAATATTTTCAATTACTAACACTGAAGTAAGAAAATCTCAAAAATCTGAAATTTGGTCTTATGTAGGCCTGGCTCGCATAATTATGAAAATGGTTTAAGTAGAATTGTTTCGATAGTTATAATACTGAATGCATTTAGGAATCAAGACTGACCATGTACTCGTGGATCATATAACGGCCCCCCTGTGGCAAACATACGAGGGTCAAACTGGGGTCCCACTTGTCCAGGCTGCATTGGTGGTGGGTTGTATGGTCCTGGCAGTCCTTGCCATTGTGGTGATCCTCCTGGATACTGGAGGATTTGGGTTGGCTGTGGTGAATTATCAGAAACTACTACAAAGCCACTTGGTGAAACCTACATTACATTAACATGATTAAGAAAATGATTTTAAAAATTTGGAAAAAAGAAGATGTTATGTAGGTGGATTTGAATTCTGAGGGGTGGAAGAGGGTCTCAGAAGATACTGTAGCTATTCTTGGTTTTCACCTATGTCATCAAAACTTTTGCCAGGATTTATATAAAACAAAACAGTTTCCACAGGCMAAAAGAGCAGCCAAAACTATATACTTGGTGAATACTTTGGATTCTAGTTTTTTTTTTATGATGTCAGGTGAAAACCAAGAATCCTATGACCCATGGAGGGGGGTTTGAATTTCCAAAGGGTGGGGAGGCACCTGAGAAGGGTATATCATGCAGTTCCGAATAAAATATTCATATTTCCCCCATGGAAGGAGATTTAAATTTCCAAGGGTTGGAAAGGCCTGYGGTGGTTATGTTGTGTAGTACCAGAAAATAAGAAAATATCCAGATCTCTCCTTGAGGGGAGTGTAAATTTCAAAGGGTGGGGAGGGACCTAAGGGGGTATATTGTCTACATGTAATCTAAGGAAATATCAATATTTTCCCTATGGAAAGGGGATAAGACTAAGGAGACTATATGATAACAAGRTTTGTTATACTAGAATTTTAACCTGATCTTGAGAAGATGGTAAATCTTTTGTAGGTACTAACACTTTCATCCAAGAGTACATTTCTTCCTGTAAAAATAACCATAAATAATAAAAGTACCATAAATAATAAACACTTCAGCGATARCAGTTGTTTTGTTTTCTGCCCTTTCGAAACTTCAATTGGATTTTGGTCTTTTCTGAACCATCATYATTGATTGATGCAAAGAAGTTTCATTGTTTTTTATATCTTAATGCATTTTGAGTCACATGGTTACATTCACTCTATAAGAATCACTGACTTACAGATGAGTCTGCTTGCAGAAACCATACCACCCCAGATTTAGTGTGCAATTCAAAAACATTGGTTTTGCCTTGAAACTGGTTACATTCATTGACATCAGCAATATCTCCCCTTGTTATGCTACCTAGAGGTTCTGGAGCCTGGGGAAAAAAACAATCATCAATTCCTCGAATCCTGAATATAATATTAATATATCAGGGACGGCRGAGCAGTTTTTTGATTGGGGGGGCTCAATAGTGACATTGTATGGCAAGGTGGGGGAGCTGAGTTTAGTGAAAATGTATTAAATGTTCCTGTGCCCCTGTATATATGAATAATATATGAATAATATATGATAAAAAATTAAATTCCAATTAAATTCCATTTGGAATACAGTGGAAGAAAAGACACTCTGTGGAATCCACTGTTTATCCCATTATTTATTATTTATTTAATTAAGCTTAAATGCTATGGTGATGTATGATTTACTGGTAGATAGCTCCAGGGTTGGAATCTGTGAGTTTGCAATGCCAAGACTTTGATCAGAGCAGAGGTTGCTTCAGGATTCTGTGATATTTTTAAAACTTTTTTGATAGAAAATTTTGGGACTTCTGCACACAAATAAAATATTAATCTCAAGCATGTGGGATTGTGTATGTATACAGAGATCAGACTTTTATTACCTATAGAATATCTAATAATTCCTATAATACATAAGTCTTACATATGGTGCTTCAAAGTAATGCAAATAGCTTCTTTCCAATCGAAAATATCGTTTTGCCCAACCAAGAAATATGTTTCTGTATTTTCTTAGGTGACCTTCTTTCTGTAACGAAAAAACGTAGAAAGCCAGATGTATTAGTATTTGAGTAAGCTTTTTTTATGAACTAAAGCTTGTTAAGTTTTCTAACAAATAAAACGTTAAGCTTAGCTWACATGTAAATATTTTTAAGCCTGATCTTTTTCTTTCCTCTAAAGATATTAAAATTTCACTCACCGTTGGTCTTGCACTACTCATGGCATCGGCACAGTTATTAGAGTGTATTGGTCTTTCTTGGAGCTGGTTTTGTTACCTCATAATAAGTTTTTCTTATTTTTAGAAACGTAGTTCGTTGTTTTATTTTTGTTCATGAAGTCACTTCGTTCCAATATGGCGGATGGTGTGTGAGAGACCGCTGAACATGACAGTGTACAACACAGGGAACCCACTTATTAGAA